ACCGATCGGCCAGAATCGAGTATCGAGTGCAAAAATACCACGGGAAAAGTTTTTGACCGAGGCAAGAATTTTTACGACCAAAAAGCTTACCGCGGTACACAGCCCTCAGCCATTTTTTTTTACCGCGGGAAGGTTTTTACGACCAAAAGTTGTCCTTGTCCGCGTTATTCAGAGATCAGCAATCCGGGGAACCTTCCGGTCCGAATCAGTTGGCGGGGTCTTCACCAAAGTTGGAGATAATCAAGCAAAGATTCCAGAACAGTGGAATCATCCAATTCGGACCAGTGGAGAGAAAGATATGGCTTCCGGAGCATTCACCAGCATTGCGCGTACCCGAGAACTGAACGGCGAACTTCAAAGATCATGGCGGACGGAGACCCTCCAGTCCGAACCAGCTTACCCGGTCTTCACCAAAGTTTGAGATCCATGGAAGATCTTTTCAGAGCATTTGGAATAGCTCAATTCGGAGCAAAGGTTTGGAAGATATGGTCTCCGGAGTTCACCTCGGTCTAAAAGTCTATTTTCTGGTGATTTCAATGCGGCGCAAAGATGTTAAATCCAGGAAGCCTTCCACTCCCCAAGCTCCGATGGTTTCTTCACCAAAGTTTGAGCTTATTGAGTCATATTGACTGTGGAACTGGTCCCAGAGAAATTGGAGTCGTGTGCTGAAAGTTACTGCTTCCGGAAGGTGACATGGTTGATACAAGCCTAAAAGAGTTGCGATACGCGCTAAGTATTTTCACAAGCCTCGGTATATTTACCTTGGCGTCACTCAATTCGAGGCTCATATCTTGGAAGTATTCTGGACTAGACCTCGTGCCAAAGCCTTGGCATGGTTAGATCGAGGCATGCATACGTAAGAACTGAAGCTGGAAACGACTAAGTGTTGAAAGTACACCTCGGTGTAATGACCTCGGCGTGCATGCCGGACTGTGTTCTCCCAAGCACCTCGACATCATGACCCCTCGACATTTTATCCCGAGGTCCCTTGTCACGAACCCAGAATCAAGAACAGAATGCTCAAGAACATACACGTGAGGATATATCAAAGACTAGGGTTCATGCATGTTCTTGACGTGTTCTTCACGAGATCTTCATCTGGATCCTGACTCACGTGCACGCCTCGGCATGAAGACCTCAGCTTCACTTTCCGACACAGCAGACCCGAAACCGATTTCTTTTCTTTTCCATCCCCTGGTTCTCATCTCAAACTCAATCTTTTTCACGCAGTGTTTCCCAAGATCTCTTCCTAGCCTACTCTAGACTCATGATGCAGAGCTAGATCTACATGAAACTCTACTCTTGTGCCCTAAACCCAACACTTTCTGTCAAGTTTATTCAGAAAAAGACCTCACATCTCTCACTAGAGTGTTTCAGGCTTCAAGGAAGGTTTTTTTCAAGGCAGGGAACTGTCTCAAGATGAGAGAACAGCTATTTGAGCTAGCAAATAGTGGTAAAAAGGATAAGAGAGCTCAAATATTTTAAGGGTACCCATGCGTTCACAATGACATGCACAAACATGATAATTAGATTGTCAAATTATGGTTCTCACTTAAATAAGGCTGAAACTAATCAAAGCCTGACTCACTTAACAAGTTCAAAGCATGGATCAGTCTTGACTTCTTTCTTGTTTACATGCATCAAAGAACTAGAAACTAGGGCAGTGAAACGAATTCTTAAAGTGATATTCTCTCAAGGAAAAAAATATCATTACTCCCATGCATAATGCAACCTATATGATGCAACTAGACTCAATCATAAAAATGTGAAATGCAACAAGGATGAACATATTTTTTGTGAGAATATTTCTGATTTTTTTGGTTTTTATATGCACTTAGATGGAACTACATGAATGCATGCAAGAATGTGACTCAAGACTCAAAGTAGAAAATAAGAACAGAGAAAACATGATTAGTAAAAGGTGAAACTCCTCCCCCACTCTTAAATAACACAGTCCCTTGTGTTATAAAAGCATGAGAAATGAGTGCAAACTCAAACAAGCAAAATGCATAGAGAAAAAGAAAGAACTACATACATATGTACAAGGGTTGGAGTGTTACCTAAGAGCTGTGGAAGTCTGACCCCAACGAGTATGAGGGGTTTGATGTGTTACCAGATGGTGTCTCCCAAGAGTGCTTGATTGCCTCATTAGAAACGGCTTCAAGGTCCACCCATGCTGTGCCATATGGTACCAATGCTGTGCAATTGGTGGAGCTCTCTACAACCTCTTCTCTGTGTTGTGGTGAAACTGGTGGGGGAGATCCTTCTTTGCAAGGGTTTTCAAGCTTCTTGATCCTCTTTTTCATTTTCTTGATACACTTAGCCATCTTGTGTATCGTTTTGTCCTGATACTTGTACCATTGTTGAAGGACACCAATCTTTTGCTGAGCTCTAAACCCTGAGGTGCCTGGCTCTTCCCAGTTGTAATCATCAAAGTGGAAAGCATAACGTTTCTGAGGTGGAGGTAGACCATCATCTTCAGCACCAGCAGCAGTAGCAGCAGCAGCTTCAGCAGCTGCTTTCTTTCCCTTGGAAGCTTCTTCTCTGCAAGCCTTCTTATACTTGAGAATTGGTGGATCAGTCTGGGAGTTGTAGAGCTCTTCCTTTAGAAAATATAAGTGAATGTTGCACTTTACTTGGACTGTGTTGAGGGAGGGATTGGGCAGGAGAACTTGGAGTGGCTCATCCATGAAGTACTTGAAGTTGTAAACCAGCTTGGCACCAACTCTTCCTTGAAAGAAACCAATCTTGCACAGATGTGCTTCATTAATCAGATCAAACTTTGCCTTGCTTTCCTTAAACCTGTATCCTCTTTCCTTCAAAATCTTTGTTACAACCCAACCATGGACAAGCTTTGCATCCTTCCTCTTTGAATCCCAAATGCACTCCTTGTAGAACATCAAAGATTTTGCTAGTTGAGAGGCAAGGCAAGGTGTGTGAGGATATCCTTCATAAGGCTTCCCATTCTCATGAGTTGGCATCAACTGTTTCAGTCCCACACCAAGGAGGTTCAGATCACCTTGATGATTTCTCCCAACATCAAGCTTAAAATATAAGCTGTGAGCAAGGATCTTATGAACATATCTCAGCATTGGGTTTCTTATCCAAGAAGCCTTAGCTGCTACAGCTGTGTATCAGCTTTCCAGTGCACTTTACAGCTTGGCAATCCAACGGTTCAATCAAAAGATACGCGAAGAGCAAGATGTCCCGTAAACCAGCCGGCAAGCACTTCCACCCGCGGCCAACAAGCATTTTCCCACGGTCAGGAGCATCCCGATCGCGGCAAACCACTCATCCACCGCGGTCAGACTTGTCCCGACCGCGGCCTTCAACCTCCGAGCCCAAAAAGCCCATTTCTGAAGCCCACATTTGGAGAAACCCTAAGTGACGTCTAGAGAGGTCTTGAGCACTATAAATACATGTCTTAGGAACCTTAGAAATTGTGTAACCTTAGAGAACCGAATTATTTACTTCATACTTTCATTGTTTTTGCTTTAGCTTTTAGGGAGAGAGAGATTTGTTCTCGTGAACCCTTGTTCTTTCTTTTTCAATTTCGGTTTCTATTCTACTTCTTAATACTATGTGTTTGATTTCGTTCATTATGTCTGAGTAGTTTTATTGTTGGGATTAAGGGATTTTCGATGGGGATTTATATGTTCGATGAGGATTCCATTGGGTATTGAGCTGAATCTTAGAACTTTTTCTTCTGAATTCGTTTTTACTGCATGAGAGTAGCATCATGAACTACAATCTGATCCAGATGCTTGGTGACACGAAAGTGTTCATCAGGTATCAGATCTAGTTTGGGAGAGCAAAACAAACATAGGAGTGGAAACCTACCTATGGGCGATTTGTGAATTAGGACGAGTCTTAAACATAATGCATCTCTTCTCTTCCAGGCCCAGAGTGGAAACCTACTGGTCAGGGTTGACAGAGATAGTTGTCTATCATCACGACAGTGGCGTATTCATAGGTCCGTGACTCCAGTTCGAAAAGTTTAAGCTAAGATCTTACAAAATTTCCTCTCTAGCAATGTTTTGAATCGTTCGTACCCCTGAGAAAACTTCCCTTAACCCCAACGCTTTCTTCTCCATTGATTTACACCGATTTTCTTAAAAGCTTTAGTTCAATATTGTCTTTCCTTTTTAGTTCATTTTCATTTAAGCATTAGAATATCCGTTTTTATCATTTTTAGTTATTTTAGTTAAGTTTAGTTATTGCGCCATTTAATTTCCGTATTCTCTTTTAAGATTTCGTTTTTACATTTTAAACACACTACCAAACCCCCACTAAACTGTTTTTGTTCTAGACTTCCTTACTTTAACTTATTTCAAAGGCTTTTTGCAGGAAAAGATCCTCCTTCCCTGTGGATTCGATCCCTAAGTACTACAATTGATCAGCTGTGCACTTGCGGCTATTGATTTCAATTAGGGTAAAACTTGACAACCCTCGACACCACACATCAAGTCACCATCAAGTTTTTGGCGCCGTTGCCGGGGAAGGCACGCGTTTTCTTTTCTGCAAAACCCCGAGAAAGGTTAGTAAATCGACTCTAGAACCCCCTTTTCTGCAATTTTCCATTTTTCGGTTATTTTGTTTCCATTTCAGAAGATATGGATCCTATAAATCGAAATATACACTATGAGGAAGGTTTCTATAACACTCCTCAAGCCACCAGACGCAGAGAGAAGCATCTACGCGATCTCTACGAAAAAACTCAAAGCGAAGACAACAGAACATCCTAGAAGGAACACTGCGCACCTCAAATGGCCAACCCTTAACAACCTGCTCGTCGGTTGCCTCACAAGAATGAAAACGTCAAACCCATTCACCGATTGGAGCTACTAGAATTGGCGGTCTCGCACTTACTCGACGTTCAAGCCAGATCCACAATTGACGAGAGAATTGACGACTTGTCAATACGCTTTAACAGAAAGCTCCAATCGGTGAAAATCGTCGAAAGCCAGGTAAACAAAGGTGCTGGAACCGACCAGGAGAGGATGAAATCAATCGAAGAACGAGTTGGAGCACACGAAGTTCGCATTCGCAAAGCCGGTTGGAGCATCCGCACCTTAGAGATCAAACTTGGTGAAGCAGAAGAGACTATTAACTACCACAACAACCAAACCTATTCCTGTGTGGAAGAGATTTGGGATGGAGTACACAAGGTTCAAGAAAAAGCAGAGACAATAGACTCAACTGTGGACGAAATAGTCTGTACCCTCGACGAAATCGAAAAGAAGGTCGAAAAGCTTATGCAAGGACGTGAAACGAATGGTTCGACGCTTCTCATCGAAGATCTTAGCCTAAAAGAGGAGGAGACGGAGTTAGAAGGTGCAGAAATCAGTTCAGATGGCAAAGGAGCAGACGAAACTGAGGAAACAACTCGAAGCCTCATTCCCGCTGTCGGAACTCACGTGACCGCGGCCAACAAGCTTCCAGCCGCGGTCGTGAGCATCCTGACCGCGGCAAAGCCCTCTTCACCCGCGGTCGTGGAGCTTCTACCCGCGGCCAACACTCTTTCAGATGCCTTTCAGCCCTTTTTCACTCCTACAGGTCAATGCTCATCTGATACATCTGCTGGGATGGTCAAAACCCCGCGGAGCAAACGGTGTATGCTATCAACTCCAAAACATCTCAAGAAGAAAATGAGGTACTCCCTTGCAACATAGTCTTAGCATATGAGGATGAATATGAAGGGCACCACCTAGAAGATGAAGACTACCGTCTGTTCATAGAAGGAGGGAATCCAGACAAAATGGTGGAATTAAAAGCACCAATCTCCAGAGAAAGGCTCGTTGAATTCAACAAGTTTGTGAAATCGATCCCTCTTTACACAGGTTTCGATGATATATGGCATCTTGGTTGTTTGCAAGTTTTCTTTAGGTACAGCAAGGAGACAAAGGAGGATATCAGAACCTACTTTGGGAGGGCCAGACGTCTGCCTTTTCCCAGAACATCACCTGATGCTGCTGTTTATTCAATTCACCTCAAACATCCAGAAGACTGCAGCCACTACACCAACAAAATCAGCAAAGAAAAGCTCGATGAATTCAATGATGTGGTTCGAAATTTACCTGAAGGAATCACGTTTGCCAAAGCCTGCAAGGACTTCATGATAGGCCACTACTTCTGTGAAAGCAAAGAATCAATCCCTGAGATAGAGGACTTGTTCGATCATGCCAGAAGAGGTAAACCTGTTCGAACACTTCATAAAATAGAAGGTGTAGGTCAGTTTCTTATCTCTTGTTCTATCAGAGGAGAGATATTTAAAAACGTGCTATGTGATTCTGGACCTTGTCTTAACATGATGTCCAAGGCAATTGCTTTGAGACTTGGTATTAGACACCTGCGCATGACTAGAGCAAAGATTAGCCTAGCTGATGATTCCAATGCAACACCTCAAGGAATAGCTCATGAAATTCCTTTGAGAATAGGAGATTGCATAGTGCCTGTCGACTTCTACATTGTCGAGACGAGAGATGCAACATATCCAGTGATTCTGGGATGGTCTTTTTTAGCAACTTCCGGAGCTATAATGGACTGGCCAAACCGGAGGATTTCATTTGCTAATATCGACAAAGATGGCTTCACAGAACCTGTTCCATACAACAGCAAAGCAGGAAAACGTTCTGCAGCAGAAGAATTTGAAGAAGAGCTTTGGAGTGACGAAGAACCTGCTAAGCAAAGCAAGGAGATGTCGAAAAAGACTTGTCTCAGGACAAGGTCTTCTTCATTGGAATAAATCACGTCCAACACCAAAAGTCGAGCTAAACGACTTAAAACAAAAGCGCTTAATGGGAGGCAACCCCATTTAGGTATTGTTTTCTTTAGAATTTTTCTTTCTTTTTCTTTTGATCTTTTTCTTTTTCTTAGTTTCAGGTGTTTCTTATAAAACAAAAAAAACCAAAAAAATAAAAAAAACCAGAAAAAACCAAAAAAAAGGATGGTACCTGACTGCTCGGCCCAGCAAGAACCAAGGAGAAGCAGGAAGAAGCCGCGATATAAGCCCCCGCGGTCGCAGGCGTCCGGACCGCGAGAACCCTACCGTCCGGACCGCGGCCAAGTGCTTGTTTACCGCGGTTGTGCAGCCCCTGACCGCGGCACTTGGTCGTTGAGATCCAAACCCGACCCAAACCATCCCTTTCACCCCATTCCACCTCACCAGTCACCCTCCACCTCATTCATCACCCTCCACCACCTTCATCACCACCTAATCACCTTCCCAAACCCATTCGAATGAATCCGGTTCATCTCCACCAGCATCCCGGATCCAGCTAAGTTCTCTTTGTTCTTACCAATTCGATTATTTATGCATTTTTCTCATCCAATCTCGACTTGTTTCACACTGAGGACAGTGTGATTTAAGTTGGGGGAGGATTTCATCCCTTTCTAACCACCTTTCTTTCATGAGTCTTGCTTTATCTACACTTTTTGCATTTTCCTTAAATTTTTTCAAAATCGGTTTTCAAAACAAAATACGTTTTAAAGGGAATGGTGAACATGAATCAATGATAGTTGACTGTGTGCTCTAGACTGTTCCTAGTGACTTGCTCATTCATGATTTAGGACTAGACTAGGCGGTAGCTAAGCACATTTGAAACGAAGTACCCCAGAGGAATTTGAATAATTTCGATTTAGATGAAGGGATACACTAGCTCTGTTTTATTTGGACTTAATTTGGACTTAAGTTTCTCATTGAAGCATTAGACCAGGGAAACGAATCATACATTCAGGACTCCTTTATCCTTTTACCACTCTCTGTTGATTCTGAATGGCTAGTTCATCTTTAGCTAGTTCTCCACCTTAACCAATCCTCTTTCAAACCACATGCACTCTTGTTTTCTATTGTCTTATATGCAGATAAGTGCAAAAACGTTGGAGAGAAAGAGGAACGACGCAGTTTTCAGTCACCAAGGACAGAGACCTGCGATTTGCCGGAAAAGTTCCCGGAAGGATTCAACACAAGAGAAACTCAGTTTGCCTTAGAAAAATCTCAAACTTTGGTACAATCTCGTCCTCTAGTCTCTCTCTCTTTAAAAGATTTCGTTTCCAAAAAAAAAAAAAAAAAAAAATCCGAAAATAAGAAAAGAAAGGAAATAAAAGCCTTACAGAGTCTAGAGAGGTCGAATTTTAACTCCCAAGGCAACTGGAGTTCGATTTTATGGAGTTTTGGAGATTGTTTTCTGATTCCTGGAAAGAATCTAAGTCTGGGGGAACAGCTGTTTACAACAAAGGAGGAAGGATTATGCAACAACATTTAGCAAGAAGAAGTGACTGAAAACTGTGGTCATCAACAGGTCCTTATCTCTCTTGCTGTTTTGCATATTATCTTGCATCCTCCAGATCTTCAGGTAACCCGAAACACTTTAACTCCACCACTTAAATAGCCCTTTAATGCCAAACGCCGTCTACCCTGGATGATGTCTTTAATGAAAACTCACTATTGAACTTAATGAATGTAGAGAGCTAGTTGACTGAAATCAAGATTTAAATTGTTTAAATTTTGCATGACGGAAAAAGTGGATTAGTATCTCTTGTGCGTGCATTAGTGAGAATTTTCTAGACTAAGTTGTGGATTGATGCACTATCTTTGGTCCTAGTCTAGAGTTCATGTCTATGAGATTTGTGCATTCCCTATTTTTGTTTTCACTTAACCAGTTTAGGCTTTTGCTTTGTTTGAGGACAAACAAAGGTTTAAGTCTGGGGGAGTTGATAACACCGTATTTTGACCACTTTTATGGATCGTTTTGAAATACTTTTTCTATGTTTTTAATTGCTTTTAAGTACTTTTATCACGTTTTTCTAGTATTTGTAGTTCCAAGACTCTTTTCAGGTAACTTAGGGAAAAGCTTAACAAAATGGATAGAAAACCAGATTTCAGCTCAGAGTCAAACCGTCAGAAGTTCACCCCTGATTGAAGGCCTTCTCACCGTCTGATCCAGCTCAAATTTGCAGACCTTAAAGATGGAAGTATCAGCTTTCCAGTGCACTTTACAGCTTGGCAATCCAACGGTTCAATCAAAAGATACGCGAAGAGCAAGATGTCCCGTAAACCAGCCGGCAAGCACTTCCACCCGCGGCCAACAAGCATTTTCCCTCGGTCAGGAGCATCCCGACCGCGGCAAACCACTCATCCACCGTGGTCACACTTGTCCCGACCGCGGCCTTCAACCTCCGAGCCCAAAAGGCCCATTTCTGAAGCCCACATTTGGAGAAACCCTAAGTGACGTCTAGAGAGGTCTTGAGCACTATAAATACATGTCTTAGGAGCCCTAGAAATGGTGTAACCTTAGAGAACCAAATTATTTACTTCATACTTTCATTGTTTTTGCTTTAGCTTTTAGGGAGAGAGAGATTTGTTCTCTTGAACCCTTGTTCTTTCTTTTTCAATTTCGGTTTCTATTCTACTTCTTAATACTATGTCTTTGATTTCGTTCATTATGTCTGAGTAGTTTTATTGTTGGGATTAAGGGATTTTCGATGGGGATTTATATGTTCGATGAGGATTCCATTGGCTATTGAGCTGAATCTTAGAACTTTTTCTTCTGAATTCGTTTTTACTGCATGAGAGTACCGTCATGAACTACAATCTGATCCAGATGCTTGGTGATATGTCTGTATTTTACATCATTTAGATTGCATTATAGAGTCCTCATCATGTGCTTTCTCATGTAAATTGAGTCTTTAGGCGTTAAAATAGGACTTAGGGCTTGCATTAGGTTCCAAAGAATTTTGCATGTTTTGAAGTCTTTATCAGGAGCTTTGGAGACCAATTGGAGCCTAAGAAGAGGAACAGAAAAGAAAACGGTGAAGAAAAGGGTCAAAAATGGTGAAAACCGCTTGGAGGAATTTCTCGGCCAAATCTCGTACCGGCTGGTCGGAAACCTCGGCCAAAATGTTTACCAGACGCTCATTACCGGCCAATAACCTTACCGATCGGCCAGAATCGAGTATCGAGTGCAAAAATACCACGGGAAAAGTTTTTGACCGAGGCAAGAATTTTTACGACCAAAAAGCTTACCGCGGTACACAGCCCTCAGCCATTTTTTTTACCGCGGGAAGGTTTTTACGACCAAAAGTTGTCCTTGCCCGCGTTATTCAGAGATCAGCAATCCGGGGAACCTTCCGGTCCGAATCAGTTGGCGGGGTCTTCACCAAAGTTGGAGATAATCAAGCAAAGATTCCAGAACAGTGGAATCATCCAATTCGGACCAGTGGAGAGAAAGATATGGCTTCCGGAGCATTCACCAGCATTGCGCGTACCCGAGAACTGAACGGCGAACTTCAAAGATCATGGCGGACGGAGCCCCTCCAGTCCGAACCAGCTTACCCGGTCTTCACCAAAGTTTGAGATCCATGGAAGATCTTTTCAGAGCATTTGGAATAGCTCAATTCGGAGCAAAGGTTTGGAAGA